TTAACAAAGTCCATGCTCAATAATCCAGGTATACAAACCAACATTTTTCTTTCAGGTCATCTGGACAGTTTCTTTTTGTTGGTGCTAAAACGTTTCGCCTTTGGTCCGGAAGGCTTAATCAGTCAAGGAAACACACAACAAAACTGATTCTTCCCCCAACAGCTTACTCCAAAGTGGAACAAACCAGTTCTGCTTGTGATAAGATGGTCTCTTTTGTACGTATATTTGTAAACACCGCTTCTGTCAAGCACCCCCGTGTCGGTTCTGAGCCAACTCTTCTCTGCTGAATTCTGTCCTGTTGTCCTCCTCCACATGTGAAACCTCCAGGCGCCTCCTCCGTCTGTTGATGGCGGCTGCTTGTGGGCTCCTGCCTGGTTAGGTCGGCACTTACCCCACCACTCTTTTAGGGGCAGAGATTTTTTAAGAGCTAAGAAGCTCGTAAGTGACTGTTGTGTTTAAAATGAGTGTTTATGTAATTTTTTTCTGTTTACATATCCAGTATAAGTTTTATTTGTTCAAGGCAGTCATATTTGTTCATAACTTTATTATTAGTAAGCCTGAGTGTTACCGGATCCAAGCAAACAGTTACTGGAACGCACCATGTCAAAATAAGAGCGTTCCTGGATCCTGTTCCGGCAGGATCCAGCTCAAATTAAGTCCTGCTCTCACTGCTGCAAGTAAAAAACAGAATGCTCAGAATTTCCCCACATAAACCGATGTAAAATAAATTAAATCTGAACTATCCCTTTAATTTTTGTTTCTTTCTGGTCAGCTCCAAATTAAGTCAAACTACTGAAAAGCAACTTAAAAGCTCATCTATCAGACCTGTCACAATAAAAGCCCTGCCTCTGTTATTTTGTGCAACTTCCCAGAGGTGTTGGTGGATTTTGATTTTTTATTTCCTAGAGAGTTTGGGTCAGGTCAGAACTCTGTAAAGCCCTGAGTTGCCCTCGATACATAAACTGATAGGATGCTTTTTAAAATGAAAAAAAAAACCAGATGTGGTTGTAAAAATATCACAAGGGATGAAAACAGAGAAGTGCTGTGGTGTGATGGGAAAGATAACTGGACTGTTTCTGTGTGGGAGTGACAGAGAGGAGGAAGTTAGCTCGAAACAGAGAAAATGAGAAATTTAACTTTACCAATGCAACACACATTTTGTCGAAGGTCATGTGCTCTGATGGGACAAAACAAATCTAAAAACCCAACTCCCTCGTTCCTTAATGAAACCAGCTGCATGTGAACAAACACGAAAGCTACAGAATGCCTCAAAAGTTTCCATGTTTGTTTAGAAAACTGAAAACTTTGTTAAAATGGAGAGAGCAGGACTAACTTCCAGTCTGTCTTGCAAACTTTACTGCATTTTAAAAGTTCCTGTACGCAGTAGGGCAATCGTTCTAACTTCCCCGCATCCCTCGTTTCTGTTTGATTTGCTCTGTTTTTAGTTCTCCCAGACATTTGCCGCTCCGTGTTTCATCAGAGGAAGTGACGTTCATCATTACTCACACAGGTCATGTGGGGAAACGTAACACACTTAATAAATTCTGCTCAGTTTTCCATGTTATGGGAGAAATAAAGACACGTGTGAGTGTATTACTTCACTGAGTGCACAACTGTGATACACTCACACACACAAACACACACACACACACACACAAATTGTTTTCTTATTAGCGTTTCTGTGGATTACAATCTGGCCATTTTTACAAACAACAACAATAAAATGAAAATAAACAATCCAGATTTTTGTTTGTTTTGTTTTACCAGGAATTCGCTTACCTTTGTTTTCACTTCACATTTTAAAACTTACAATCACTTTCTGACTTGTTGCTTGTGTTTTCTGTTTTCTTCTGTACAAAAACAGAAAAAATACCTGAAAAAGTTGACCATCAGCACAAATCCCTCGTCACAGAGGTTTTGCTGCCCCCTGCAGCATCAAATGAATAAGAGTTTTTTTTATTTACTATTCAACATGCATACATACATACATACATATACATATATACATATATATATATATATATATATATACATATATATATATACATATACATATATATACATATATATATATATACATATATATATATATATATATATATATATATACATATATATATATATATATA